AATTTTGCATTTGCATAAAAGCAAAAAGCACCAAAATACCCTTGGAAATATCCTGGCATAATGAAAATGAAAAAAGGTTAAATGGGACATAAAGGTGCATTTTCAATGATTGCACTAAAAAAAAAATACACTGAATGGGCCCGCCCTTTAAAAAGAAATTATTTACAAAGGATTATGTGCATTGTACTACTACCCCCACAATGATTACACTCATGCTATAAGCCAAGCAGCCAAATGAATCTTATGGACATTCAAATGAAAAGGAATAAGCATGCTCTGTGTGAGGACCAGTGCGTAAATTAAATACCGTGTGAGGACTGCAAGACTATGTATTGAAGTCCTCAATCTGTTGTTGAGAACAGTACTGGCATGTACATGTATGTTTGTGTGCTTCGTCTATGGGGGAATTAAAGGTAGAGTAGATCATTTGCAGCTATCCAAAAAGTAACTGACAAAATTATTGTTGAAAGCTTACTTGGTTTAAATATAGTAATGGCAATAAACTCCCTGTGAAAATATTCTTTCTAGCATGCTGTCATTTTCAGAAAACAGTAAAAGAAGGCAATTTCCAAAGAAACATCAAGTAAGTAGTAAGGTTTGTAATTTGAAGAATCTGTGAACGGGTGCGTGCAAGCACTGACATGTCACACAAGCACGCGCAATTGCTAACTATTATTTATCGGTTCGTTGCATGGCATCGCGTAGCTGCAATCAGCTGAATGAGAACATGTCCCGGATGCTGATTTTGGGTGCAATTCAAAACGTGACTCTGCAACTTTGTTAAACATCTGCATATTTTGAGCACTTTTGTAGCATAAAGCAAAAAAAAATGCCACAATGACAGGACCTCTCTTACCCTTATGACTCTACGCCCCGCCCTTTTTGAGCACCCATATACAGATTTCAAATAGTCTTAGACTGACACCACATTACTGCTGTTGTGTTACCTGTTCATCAGTCTGTGATGTGTAGAGGTAGGCGTGGCTCTCCCCAATCTCAGCATTCATCTCAGCAATGGACCAATCAGCCTATGGAGGGCACAAAATATGAATGAATATTCAAATTTAGTGATGCATGAACTGAACTGGGATGCAATAAAAGAGAAAGCCTTAAAAATGTGAGTTTGGGAAATTTTGTAACAAAGCACTGCTGATGCTGAATCACTGAAAGAAATACATGTAACAAGTTTTGTTATGATGAATATAATTTAAATGAACTATGCAAGAGTAGTGCTGTTGAATGCTATATATATGCATGTAAAACACCAACTGCACACTAGCTAAAATGTAGATAAATATAAAGAAAGTGAAGGAAAATAAAACCCACGACAAAACAAAACTACGTTCCAAAACTAATTACTGCCGGTTCATTTTTACCTCTTTATTTGTTTATTTTTGTCTACACAACAGACTTGAGTATCCATGGGCGTCAATCGGTGGGGGATGGGGGGACAAGTCCTCCCTCCCCACTTTTTAAAGTCGGAGGATATCATATCGTTTGTGTCCCCCCCCCCTCCTCACTTTTTTCGTCCCGAATTAAAATTGTTGCCAACATAATGATTCTATAGCTCACAATAGCTGATGACTTCAAACTCAAAAATAATGTTTAAAAGATGATTTGTTTGCTCTTCAAAAATTTGTTGAAGTGGTCAGAAATTGCCTCAGATCACACCACAGAGCGTCTAGACTGCAACATTTCCCGGGGCCCTTAAGCGGGCCCTAGACTCCATGCTGTTAGGGCTTTGCGCTCCCATTAACACTGTTAAAGATATGCTCCTCCCCCCACTTTTGAGAAGCGATTGACGCCCTTGTGAGTATCCTGACTGGAAACATATCAAAGGATATTAAAAAAAGGTGTCATCTGCAATAACAGTCAGTTTAGAATTTTAAACTGCATCAGGTAATTGACCCTGTGGCTTCTTTATGTTTACCTTTCTGATAAACCTGTCTGTCATATTACCAGCTTAGGACCTTTGGATCCATTAGATATCAAACACAGTCAGCATGCTGTATTCGATTTCACTATGAGCGCGTACCAAAGCTCTACATAAGTGGAATCTGGGGACTGCAAATATTACCAGATCAGAACCTTTGGATCCATTAGATATAAAACACTGCATTTGATTTTACTATGAGCACGTACCAAAGTGCTACATAAGTGGAACCAGGGACTGCCAATGAGTGTACTCAAAATCAGGTGACATGGTCCGTGTTGATACAGAGGGGTGTATACATGGATCGCCATCTTTGTTCATTTCAACCATTGCCGTAAGTGACATCAGAATGGGCAGATAGAAATGGCTCATTTCATGTGTACCTGAAGGTAAGATTTTTATTTAATGGGTCTACCTGTAAGTCTGTCTATACATCTGATATAAATCAGCAGCATCACATTATCTCATATGAAGTACATGTATGTAAACTCAATATTTGCCAATTACAAGGAAATTCATGTGGATCTGTCAAACCTGTTAGAATGCAGACATGTGGAATACATGAATCCCCTTATATTCATGACAGAAATAAGTGAAGCGCATTGTTTGTACTTACATGTAGTCTCTTACAAAGAAGTGTGAGACCTTTAAGAATATTCGTCACAGACGTAGCTTAGTGAATCACAAAATAATAATAAAACAAAAAAAAATATAAACCGATGTGAAGGTAAATGTTTTTTTAATGAAATTTCTTTGAGGAAAGTGGACTTTGAGTCTATGTTTTGAAATATGAGCCAGTTAAAGTACTTGAAATTTTTTTTTTCTTCGGTGCAGACTTTATTTGGTTGCATTAACTCCTGCTACCTAGAGTACTCAAACCACCCAGCTGACCAAGGCAAGCTCAGAGGTGGAGCATTAGACTGGTTTAAATCATACCTTAATGACCGATCTCAATTTGTCCGGGTCAATGATTCAAGTTCACCTACTGTCTCTCTTGATTTTGGGCTACCTCAAGGATCAGTCCTAGGGCCCGTCTTGTTCTCTCTGTATACAATGCCACTTGGTGAAATCATTCGAAAGCATGGTCTATCCTATCATTGTTATGCAGATGATACCCAATTATATATGTCAGTAGACCCTCAACAACACAAGGTTGATTCAGCAATCCAGAAGATGGAAACATGCATTGATGATGTACGTTCTTGGATGACTCACAACTGGCTCAAATTCAACAATGAAAAGACCAAATTTATCATCATAGGTTCAAAGCAGCAATCGTGCAAAGTTCATGTTCCATCCATAAGGCCAAGGGTTGGCGATTCAACCATCATGCCATCAAATAAAGTCAGAAATCTTGGTATTATCTTTGATTCATCTCTATCCCTGGAACCTCACCTTACATCAATCTCTAGATCAGTCTGCATGTCGATCCGTAACATCGGACACATACGAAAATATCTTGACAAACACACAACTGAAATACTTGTTCACGCTTTCATCACATCCAAAATTGACATGGGCAATTCACTATTGTATGGCATTAACCTAAATCAACTAAACCGTTTGCAGCGACTACAAAACATCAGTGCCAGACTAATCTCTCTCACTAGTAAACATTCTCACATCACTCCTGTACTAGCAGATCTCCACTGGCTTCCAGTATCATACAGAATCAAATACAAACTTGGCCTATTCGTGTTCAAAATCCTCCACAGCAATGCGCCGGAGTATCTCATCGACCTCATCCACCCATACTCAACAGCACGCACCGGACTCCGCTCCAGTGAGCTCATGATGCTTCACGAGCCCAGGACCTCCACTCTATGGGGTGACAGATCCTTTGTTGCAGCGTCAGCCCGAGTGTGGAACCAACTCCCTCTGGCTATCAAATCATCTCCATCCATCACAACATTTAAGACAAACATAAAATCTCACCTGTACAAACAAGCTTACTCTCACAATACACAATCCTAACTTGACTTTCTCCTCGAGCGCCATGAGCGCCTATTTTTGGCAGATACCGGCGCTTTACAAATGTTCTTTTACTATTATTATTATTATTAAAACGTCTGCACAGGAGGTTCTGGGTTCGAGTCCCACCTGAGTAACAGTAAGAGTGCCCTTTTGTATACAATCCCCCGTTTTACACCAGTGTTCCCCCCCCCCCCCCGTATTTGTAAAGAGTGCCCTTTTTTTAAAAAAACAGGTCAACTCACAAACTATTTATAAAACAAACTGTGCCAAAAGCATTTTTTTGCCATTGAAAACCTTTTTACTTGCGACCTACTTTTGTTTTGACTTGTTATGAACTTTATTACAACTTACATTAGACGTAGAAAATGTCCCAGATAACAGCTGAAGAGAATTTTTTAATGTAACATTTTCAGGACAAAGTATGCTCTTTCATAAACATGGTCACCCTATTATACAAATTGCTATTTTCTTTTGGAAAAACATAACTAACATCAGGTTTTGAATCAAGCACATAGTGTATGAATAAACCTTCAAGTTTATGAATACTCTACTTGACAAAATGTTTTAAACTTTACCAAATGATCATTTGAAGTTGAATACATGTAATTCCAAAACCTTTTAAATAAAGGGAAAATACAACATTTGCAAACATCAAAAAATAAAACTACCAAATCATTTTAAAATACCTTGCTGGACTGTAAGTGAATGACAGTGTAAAGCATCCTGTAAAATCATGGCACCTGGTATACTGTCATTTTCAAGAAAAGTGGTATTTTTTTATCAATTTCCAGCGCTGATCGGCCGATGAGCGTAGGAAAAAAACTGTCTTTTTTTTCAAATACTGGCCCCAATTGACCATCGCACTTGTTTGCAATCGATTACAAACCTATGAACGGGTACGAGCCAGCTAAACTGGTTCCCTGACCTTACAATTCCCCAATGTATGTAAACTGCTCTGTTTCTTCTTATGTGGAGTCAGGGAACCAGACTACAGAAAAATGATTGTTTTTCTTGGTTTTTATAGCATTTTCGAACCAAAAACCTCAAAAAAGTCAGTGTAACTATATTTGCTATATATTTCCAACCCCCCAATTCCATCCATTTCTGAAAATTACAGCAAAAGCAAATGATGTATATTCCCTTTAATGTGCTTCATTTGTAGGTTAAAGGTCCATCCTATCGCACCAAGCCCAACAGTGAAGATGGCATCTAATGTTACAGTGCAATCAGTGTTGGAGAAGATTAGTGTGGATCATCTGGAATGCTCCATCTGCACCAACCGTTTCAGGCAGCCCAAACTGCTGGACTGTTTGCATACTTTTTGCCTGCAATGCCTCCAAGAGCTCAGACAGAGCCAAGATCCTAGTGGTACAAAGCTGACATGTCCTCTGTGCAGACGTGAAACCATGTTGAAAGGGTCTGGGGTTGCTGATCTCCCTAATAACTTTGCATTCAGTGCCCTGGTGGAGGAAGTTACAATGCAGGAAAAGCTACTGAAAGGTCAAGGGTCAGAGATCAAATGTCAAGCCTGTGATGAGGAGAATCAAGCTATTTCAAGATGCATAGACTGTGATCATTTCCTGTGTCAAGAATGTCAAAAGGCTCATAAACGTATGACTGTCATGAAATCTCATAAAATCTACACACTGGCTCAACTTCGATCAGGAGAGATTGTCTACAAGAGTAAACTAAGAGAAGAAGTTCCCAAATGTGGCAAGCATCCAGATCAGAATCTCAATGTCTACTGTAATACATGTGAGGAAGTCATATGTCTCATGTGTACTGTTCTAGATCATGAAAAACCCAAACACTCTTTTATTGGCTTACCTGAGGCCTATGAGAAATGTAAGAAAAAAGTAGAAGAACTTGTTGCAAAGATTGGTAAAAGCAAAACCAAACTGAACAAAACCATAGATAAGACATGCCAATCTCGCAAGAAACTCAACAAAATGTTTGCAAACATCAAAAAGAAAATCTCAGAAAAAGCTGAGAGAGAGGTTGCCAAGATCCGACAGGAGGAGCAGAAATTGTTAGAAGAGACAGATAGGATTTACCAAGAGAGAATCACACCATTTGAAGCTGCTGAAGCTACCAACAGGAAAGAGGTGTCACAGACAGAGCACAAGCTGGAGGAGGTGAAACAACTCATGAATCAAGCAAGTTGCTATGAGATTCTTGGACTTCAACAGAAGCTCTTGCATAACCTCAGTGAATTGACAGGGAAACAGCCACAGCAAGTTCCTGACAAGTTGACCTTCATGAACTTTGAAGAAGGTGAGAGGTCACTTGGGAGACTCATTCTGGAAGAAGAGCCAAAGGCTGCAGCAAAGCAATCACCAAGACGACGAAGATCCTTTGTGAAGGAGAAATGGGAACTGGAGACCAAAATTGAATACGTTGAATTAACAAATGCATTCATAACACATGTTGCAGCACTCTCTGACAATAAAATACTTGCACTATCTAGAAGATTTAATGGAAACAGTGATGCACTGTTTGAAGTTTCAATTCCATATAGTCATAAGAAAGGATCTCCTATCCCACAAAAGCTTCACAACTATTGCATCACTGATGTCAGGTGTATTGCAGTGAGCAAGGATGACAAGCTCCTTGTTCTAGATGGTCCAGTAGTTAAGGTCTGCAACAAGCAACATCAGCTCCTCCATCAGTTCACACCAGGTAGAGGGTCAGACAGCCAACCAACATGCCTTGCAGTGGATGACAGCAATCTGATAGCAGTGGGTTATGAAGGCAAGAAGGAGATATCTCTACACAACCCAGATGGGTCCCTCATCAGGAGACTGCCTGCTCCAATGATTGAGGATTATCTGACAATGTACAATCACCACCTTATCTACACAACTGGCTTCAACAAACGGTTGGTGTGTTTAGACTACAATGGTGCCAGTGTATTCACAGTAGATATGACTAGCAAAATGCTGGGGGGTTTGTACCCTACTGGTGTGTGCTGTGACAGTGATGGCAGCATCTATGTTGCTGTGTACAGACATCCAACAGGTGATATTCTGCATTACAGTCCTGATGGCAAGTACATTGGATGTGTGATCAAGGGATGTGGTTGTCAACAGGGCATCACATTCACATCAGACAGTGATCTGGTTGTGGCTGCAGGAGATTCTGTACAGATTTATCACTGAGTGCAAGGACAAAATAATAAAATTGATAGTAAGAATAAAAATAAACCAACAACATAGCCCATTATCCATGTTCTTTTCTTTCAAAACACCCAGAATTCATCCAACATATGGAGAACTTTTCCCCCCATATGTGCAGAAAATTAAAGTCCTGCATGCGCTGCGGTCTCACACAATGGTGCACGGACCCAGCGACCCGCACAGCCCCACTGTGTTGACCGGACTATACATAAACAGCAGGTCGATCCTCAGAACAAAAGCGATGTCTGATTTGACAAGAAAAGTGCCCCTCTTTCTTCTCAACCAATCAAAACGGTTGTTACATAAAAGGAAAGCTTATTGTGTTCTCTTTCAGAAACCATGCGAGGTAATTGTATGCGACCGGGTTTACACGTGTGCCGTTCGAAGAAGTAAACCCACACCCTCAAAAATCGGGGAAATGTGCCGTGACCTCCATAGGAAACGCGAAATTTTCACTGAGATACCCATTTTTCAATGGGAAAGTGCACATAATTATTCGCCTTTAATCATGAAGAAATTAAATTCATGAGAAAGAGGAAAATCTGTATTTTGTGATGCGATGTGAGGAAGTAAGTTTAGCCAACACACTTTCGGTATATTAACGAAAGTTTGCTCAGAGCGCCTAGACATGAGCCAGTCTTCCCACGTAAACAGAGCTGCACTAGTGGCGAGTGAGCAAATGCGCCCTAGTTCTCAATATGAATATCCTATGCTGATTTCCACATCACAAACAGAACTGTACTCTGGGGGAAATAGACAGGGTCTCAACATGCATGGAAGCAAATGGAATAATATGTTTGTCTCATTAAGGCACAGCATTATGAAATGCTGTATGTACAAGTTACATGCGCAAGTTAAACATTTTGATATTTTTAAATGTGAATAATCTCTTAAAAAGTATCAAGGCAATTTACTGTGATATTCTCAGAATCTCAAAAAAACTTAATGTTTGACAAGTTTTCAAAGTGTGAAATGTACCAATGAAAAAATAATCATTTTCTTACATTTTTCAATTCATGGAAAAACAGTTTAAAGTTTAAGTATAAAATTTGAATGAATGCAAATAATATTTCGATTTGAATAAACTTTAATGCTACATTAAACAAATGCAAATATTTAAAAGCAACTGAATAAAATGTACATACTATGTAAAAAAAATTTTTTAGCAACAATTCTAAGGTAAGTCACGTATGATTCCATGATTGTTTCTTGCAGTGTCTGTGAGTGCCGCATCAAATTAATATCAGTTTCTTTAAATTTACGTCTCAGCTAAGAAAATAAAAACCTTGGGTATTTCAACGCAAATTTGTATATTAACTTTTTGGTAATTCACTGATGTATTTGTACACTGAGCTAGGTTTAGCAATATGGTTGTATATTTGTAAATTGAAATCACCTTTCTTTGCCTTTCTTCAATGTGAATACTGCAATAAAAGATGCATTTAGGAACAATCTATAAATTTGGGGTCCGCTTTTTCATGTCCCTATACATCTGGCATCGACTACACTTTTGTGTTCTTCCTCCAAACTGCATCTACTATACTTTTGTGTTCTTCCTCCAAGAGTGCTTATTTGAATCAAACATAGAGCCTACTCAACAAATTAAAAAAAATATTTGGAATACTTGCAACTTGCAAGTAATTTTAATAATAATAATAATAATAATAAGTATAACTCTTTTCGCCCCAATAGGGTGACTTTCCCATAGACTTGTGCACAAACCTAAACTGTCACCTAACCCAAGTTTACCTTATGTTTTTTCCACGAAATTTAGTATTTATACTAATTGGACCATGAGGAATCGATCTAGATGGTTAGCGACAGCAAAATTACTTGTCCTAAGGGTCGTTTTCATAAAAGGGCGACAGTTATTTTGTCGCCTCAATAAGGTGTATCCCCCTATTGTGGACGGAGTTCGCAAAACCTGTCGCCCTATTACAGTAATAGTAGTAATAATAATAATAATAAAATATTAATTACCGGCAATGCGGTAATAGGGAGAATTTCCCATAGACTTGTGCACAAAAATTTTCCGAATTAAATGTGCCCTAACGAGCAACAAATATAACCCAATTTCGACAGCAAAATGTTTCCTCTAAAGGAGGGCTGCGCCAATAGGGAGACACCTAGGTGTCTCCCTATTAAGCCCGTGTCTCCCTACTATTGAAATTTCTATGCTAACGTGTCTCCCTAATAGTACATTTGTAGGAATAACTGTATTTATATAGCGCTTTTTGCCAGAGGATACAAAGTGCTGGGGGAGAATGCAACCAAAGCCAGGTAAATGAAGTATATGAACATTATGAGACCCATTATGTAGCACCTTTTTGCTAGGTGCTGCGGCGCATAATTGCTGCCACTGCCAGAAACACCAGGGCAAACCCCTCCTCTTAGCGACAAGTGTTACTGGGTTCTTTAACGTGCATTACACAACACACGGGACCTACGGCTTTACGTCCCATCCGAAGGACGAAGCAATAATGGTAAAGTGCCTTGCTCAAGAGCACAAGCACCATGTTCCCACAGTCAGGATTCGAACCCGTGTACCACGGCACAAGAGTTGAACACCGAAACTTAACAGGGACAGGAAAAATGACAGACTTTGGACCCAAAATGTATAGAATGACCTACTAGTGAGAGGTTCTGTATCATAACAGCTAACAGTTTGTTAATTCCATAAATGATTGAGTTGTTTTAACTTCTTTGATTTAGTAATATTTTCTCGGTCTGGTTTGTTTGTGAATAAAGATTGAGACAGGGTGTTTAAAGAGGGGAATTGCATTTATGCAAATTATGTGTCTGGCACCTGGCCTATACACAGCTTTGCCAAATTAACACCTCTGGTGTCAGCACATATTGAATAATAGCTTGCAATATTTAATTGATGTAACATGGTTCTCAGAACTTTCTAAAGCGATCAATTCAAATGGTGTATCTTCAAACTTATAAGTTGAACTTCCACTTTGCAAGTCTCACATTGCAAAATCACACCTACACACACGCGTGTCATATTTAATACAGAGCCGTATACAGAGGGAGTTGCGACATGAATGGTATCATTTTCAGATGCCATTATAGGTCCAAGAATGAGTAAATATTCTGAAGTGAGATTGTGGGGTTATTTTCATATACAGAAAATTAGAGAAACTGGTGACTGAGAACAAAACTCCCATAACATTACTGACAATACGCAACCTGAGTTGGACCTAAAATGGTGTCCAAATTGCTAGTTGTCGCAACTCTTACTGTATATGACTCTGGTTTAATGGGGTGAGCGCGTTACCAAGTGTTTGCCAATGGAGAGGCCACTGTTCAATTTACACTTGACATGTGTCATCTTTAATTTTTTTTTTTACATGAATCCTTTTTGAAAACTTTGTAAATAAACTCAACACTATGCCAACGACAACTTCCAATGGTGCCTTCACAAACTAACAGGCAGTTCTTTAAGCAGTTGTTGAAACTTTTCTTTAAGGTGCTACAAAAAAACTCGCTTAATTTCTAGAGACAGTCAATTCACATGGTGTATGAACCTCCACTGTGCAAGTCTCAAATCTCACCTACATGAACGTTTAACATGTACAATAGGGGTGAGTGCGCCACCAAGTATCTGACTATGGAGAGGCCACTGTTCAATTTTACAATTGGCATCCTTTCAGTTGAGATACTATCAAGCATTTATGTGTAATCATCCTTTTTCAGTTGTTTCATTTACATAAATCCATTTTGAAAACTTTGTAAATAAACTCAACATTATATATCAATGAAACATTCTAACGATGCCCATCAAAACCAAATAGATCAGACACTTCTGTAAGCATTTGTTGAAAGTTTTCTTTACTGTGCTTCCAAAAAAATTGACTCTCATCAAAATTCTTGACAATTTAACAATGGGTCATGAAAGTGTAGTAGATATGCAGACATATGATTTTAGCAACACTTTGAGATTGTAAACTTTCTTGGGTCTTTCCTTTGACTGTGTACACTGATTTCAATTTTGCTACAAGTACCTTCATCTTGATTGTTTGTGTGTGCATGATAATGGTTGCACAATGACTGCAGTTTATGTA